AAAGATATATAACTATCATCATTTAGCACGGTTTAATAAAATCAGATGAACACATAAGTATGAAAAAGTAGTAGCAGAAAATATTGTACCATAATTTCTCTTACTATAATGTGGAAACTTCTCTCAGACATCATGGAATTAGCTATAATATCATCTGTGTTGTATTGTGTATTTTTGTTTTACATTTCATATTTTTTCATCCATATTGCTTGGCCTTGTCAGTGCAAACATTCTTGGCTCCTTTCCCATTTTTGCTTCTTTTCCAGTTTGTTAAAATAATGCATTGTAATTACTTAAGAAAACCAATAATATTCTATGACAAAAGAAATCCTAAAGCAACATATAGCTATTGTAACCATATCATCAGCTTCTCTTGCTTTTTTTCCCTTCTGCACCTTATTGGCCCAATCCTGAAGCTTTTACTACATTTTTGTCCAATCCTCATTCAGACACTCCTTCCCCCTCCCACCCACCTCCCCCTTGATTGAGCTGTGAGTTTTGCCTGAGAAAAGACTGAATAAAAATGGAATGGAGCACTCATAATATGGTCTGTAATCTCTAAAGTTCTTCTCTCATCTCCCCCACTTATTTCTCTTCCACAACCACAACCCACATGAGAAGACAGAAAACCATCCTTTAAAAACATCTGGCGAGCCCCGCTGGCCACATGTCTTCTGTGCTACTTTCTGTTTGCCATTCTCTGTAGTTTGCCTGGGTGTGCTGCTTTGCATCCACACACATTCTAAAAAATGCCTCCCATCCATAGAGCCATCTCGTTCTTGTAATTACATCTCTCAGGGATGACTAATGCAATACACAAAACCTCTTTGCATGTTACGAGGTTGTTGTCCAGGATTCGCTATTTTCCCACCTTGACTTCATTCCCTTTCAAAAGCTGCAAAGGCCCCAGATTACAGCAACCCCCTCTCCAGCTGAAGAGGCTGGAATGCAGCTCCCTGAAGAGCCCTTCAACACAATGTCAAGCATCATCCAGAAGGTGCACAGGGAGGGCACTTCAAGTGTCTCACTTTTCCCTGGTTCTCACTGCATTTCCAGTCCCTGCCAGACTGGAAATGACTGAGCTCAGGACACAAGTATGGATGCCTGTCTGGCAGAGCAGTGCACTATCATTAGACCATCAAGCTATGATTTTTAGAAGATTTTTTTAATCTATCTTTTCCTTTGACGTTTTAATCACTAGTGGCTCTAGAGAGTATTCCTGTGTAGTTTCTAATGCAGCCATCAACGTAGTATCTAGGCACCATATACAAAATTAAGTGTTACTTATTGACTGTCCAGAAATACAGCTAGTTCTCTTCCCCGTGTTAAATTGTTTTTTCAAGTGAATCATGGTGGGGATCTTGCAGGAGAAACATTGCCAGGCTGTTGTGTTACCCTAATACTGGGGACAGATCTGATTGACTGAAACAGTGAATCTTGTACTGTACCTTTAAAGATGCAAGACTTGGGCTTATCTTGTTGTTGCTGGGAGTATATTCCAAAGCCAAGGTCCCTCTGTTGAAAAAGCCCCAGGCTCCTGAAAGTTTTATCCTTGGGATCAAGAGCTGCCACATCCTTGATGTTAGGAGCTGCCATGGATAATTACAGAGGGAGTGGCAGTCTCTAAATCTTGCTCATTAGCAGTGTTAAAGAAAGGACCTCATATGAGATCATTTCACTATTCTCAACCAATATGCCTACATATGCACAGTAATTTCCAATTTTAATTACCACATATTGTGTGTGCATGATCCCTAGTCCATTTGTGCATAGTCTTTCCATTTGTGCTTTGTGGATTGTTTAAAACAGGGGTCTCATCTCTTTCCATTAGCTAACAAAGGGCTGTGTGCTGGGGAAATCTGACTGTCATTTATCAAGAAACTAATCTGATATTTCTTTTGAACCAAAATTTAATAACCAGTTTTGACAGATCATGTGTGTTTGTATACATCTCTGTGTGTAATAGGCACATGTGTATCTAGGAAAAAATGAGATCACAGATTTAGGCTGCATGCTAATACACAGATGCAAGGGGAAAGTTTGGGGGTGCATTCATCCTATGATCTTTATGCACATGTATTAACTATATGTTTGATTAATTCACGTAAAATTAGGTTGGATACATTTCTAGCTAATTTTACCTGAATCAACCAGACATATAGTTAATACATGTGTAATGAGTAAAACCAAATGCAAATTAAACAAAATGGCCAGAGGACTACAGTGGAATTGTCAGAGAGTAACAGTAAGTGACACATAGGCATATGGTTATTTAGTCCTGTGGTTAACCAGCATGTGGTTAATGAGTAGACTTCTATAAACAGTAAAAAGTAAGTGGAGTGTCTTCCTGCTTTTGCCAAATTGTGTCACAACAGGCACCATCATTTTGAAATCTAATAAATTTTGAAGAATATCTTTGAAGGAGTTACAAATATTGCACCTGGCCCTGATTCTCTATGGTAATTTTTTTGATTTTACAATCACATTTAACGATTAAAAATATTTTCTCACTCCTTGTATGTGTGAAAATCCTACAGAAACAACAGGGGGACTGATGAGTGTGTTAGGGAAACAGTGAAAATGCCCCATTAAGTGTTATCATATGTCCCAAGTAAATAAACTGGAAAAATTATAGCTAGAAATAGATTAATAAATAGAAAAGTATTATTTTTCTCTAATCTCTTTCAGTTATAGGCATTTTAGGTGCTACTTGAAATAACAGTACGTAAAATATTTTCCTAAAGAAGCAGGATATGTTTTTGGCTTGATTATGTCCCTTTAATATTAGTTAAAATCTCATGTTTTGGGTGTTAATTTTCTTGGGGAGTTTTTAATAGTAGTTATTTTTGATCCCTCATAGAAAAGTCTGAGTATTGGCAACATAATTGTTATGATCTCTCATACAATTTGGTATTTAGAAAATGTCAAAAACACATTGGCCTTGAGTCTGGCTGAGTGGACCCAAGTCAGGGGTCAACGGTCTTGAGGCATGGATCAAAGGTGGCTTTTATGCCACCTTTACAGCTCCTCCCGATACCTGGAGCTACCTTTCAGCAGAGGTTGGAAGGGTATTAGGAAGGCACAGGACTGGGATGTAGAAGAATTGAGTTTTAATTCCCGGCTCAGATACAGACTTGTGTATCGTTGGCTGAGACACTTAGGGCTTGTAGCAATGCACACTAGAAGGGGTGCAAATTCTAAAGCACATCAACACACTGTGCACTAACTGGCCGTGTAGACCCTGCTGGTGTGCACCGAAAGTTCCCTAGGGCACATTAATGTACTTCTGTTTGGAAAGGAACTACATTAGCATGCACTAGGGAACTTTTAGTGCACGTCAGCAGGATCTACATGGGCCAGTTAGTGCACAACACATTGGTGTGCTCTAGAATTCACACCCCTGTAGAGCACATTGCTGCACTGTGTAAACAAGCCCTTATTTAACCTGAGCTTTACTGCTCCATCCTAATTCACAGGGACATTGTGAGGACAGAAACCATTAATGATTATAAAGTGCTCAGATATTAGTGCTGAGGGCCATACCAATACCTAGATAAGAACTGAGTTCAGATACTATTGAAAGTGAAACTGTCTTATTCTCGTCACACGTGGATGTATACCTACATCTATATAAACAAAGCAAACTATAACAATTGGAAGCTTTCATCAGAAGAACCCTGAGACTTGGTTGACAGGAATGTTGGAGACCAGCAATGAGGTGCTTTTTGTAGCGGTGTGTGGGAAAGTTTGTACAGCACATGCCTATGCAAGTATAACCTCAATTATCTGAAACTCCCCATTGTCCAAATCAGGGCCATGTTTCTTGAAAATTCTATGATTATCCATGTCCCCCATGACATTCAGAGAACTATACTAAAACTGGCTACAGGTAGTGCTGTCAGCCTTTTATTTCTGTAAATGCCAAAGTAATGATTAATATTTATACAGTGCTTTACATTGTCAATATGCCACACATTCAATAACTAAATAATCTGAAGAACACTAGGCAAGTAGTAGTAGTATCCCCATTTTACAAATGAGAGTAAAAGGAGTTTGCACCAAAACAGAAGCAGAAATATTTAAATGCATTATAATAATGAGGGCCTATATCATAATTTCTTATCTCCATTTGAACCACCAAACGACTAATTTTCAAAACTCAGAACTATGGCATGCACATACTATATCTGAAGTCTTCCCTTTGAATTATAGTGAAACCCATCATAATATCTTAGCAAAACTTTCCATAGAAATCCAGGAAGCAAGTTTTTACCCACAAAGGGATAAAATAAAAAAGCTGAGTTTGTATAAAATATTCTTGGCCAGGTTTAAAACAAGGGGGAGGAAGTGGAGGAAATCCAGAACAATCAGATCACTGTTATGTCTTCATGGAACTCTTTAATTCCCTTCAGACAAACTATAGAGATCTTTTTTTATCTTGTCTCTATAATTTCTTGGAGCTATGGTAGTAGATTTCTCTGTATTTTAAAGGATTCCTGTTTATTCTGTAGAATTGATCCAACACTAGCTTGAACCATCTACCATGGGATTTTCAGCGTTTCCTAGGGGACTTGAACATCCCTTTGATTTAATGGGAATTGTGTGTTCAGATTCCTTAGGCAGCTTTGGAACTCAGCCATAATTTATAGGGCTCTGTGAACTAACACCCTTAACAAACATAGATCAGTTGTAAGTGGTAGTGTGGATAATTTAAAATATAACTGTCCAGCTGTAAACTGTGTATTTTACAAAGTATAAATAACATTAAATGTAAATCAATTTGTTATACGTGCTTGGAGCAGTAGCCATGTATGGAATATACACAGCCTTGGATTGCCCTGAAGTGGATGTGAAATGCTGCACTGTATGGACACATATATAATATATAGAGACTAAAATATGATGTGTTTTCGAGCTGTTGAAAATGACAGATACAAATTATCTCAGTGCATGTTGTATTGTAATTATCAGTAAGAGAGTAATGTGCTTTCCTGTTGCAGGGAAGAGCTTCACCCTAACCATCACAGTCTTTACAAATCCTCCACAAGTAGCCACGTATCACAGAGCCATCAAGATAACGGTGGATGGACCTCGAGAACCCAGAAGTAAGTGATCTGGCAACAATGTTAATGCAGGTGTGAGATTCCATATTAGAACAGGGGTTCATCACCTGGTGTCAGATTAAATGCAGCAAAATATAAGATTAATTGGGAGCAATGGATGTACTTTGAACTAAGGCTATCCACTAATGATTTTAAGTATGCCTCTCTAGAGCTTAGTTCTGCACGAGTGTATTCTGTTGTTCAAAAAAGTATTTGAAGTGCTCTGCACTTGAAGGCAACAAACTCAGGTATGATTTGTATAGTACACAAGACCGAAGGGATATTGGGTAAAAAGAGGACAGGACGTACATTATGCAGCATTTCCTGGTCACTTTGACTTTCAGATGGTCATAGGATTTTTAACTTTAGAACCCAAGATGCCATTAGTCTAACTTTTCAAAGTTGGCAGGCAAAAGCAAAAAAAAAAAATTCAGAAAGATGACAACCACTGTTCTTCTATATAGTTTATTGTGCCTCATGCTGGTTTATAACTTAGGAAAACTGTAATTGTTAAAAACAGCCCTTCAAACAGACAGATGGAATTTACTCCACTGGGGCGCACATTTTCACAGACAGTAGTTCTTGCCAAATTTTTTTAAAGCATTAAGTATGAATAGAAGATGAAAGATTTGATATCTGTAGGGACAAATCCACAAATTTCACACAAGTACAGTTTTTGGAAAAAACAGATGTACAGTCATCAGATGTTTGTGCAACATGTGCTCTGCTTATTACCATGGGCAATAATTAACCTCAGTCACTAACCTTCATGTAGAATTTTCATATTTTTTATCAAAATGCCTTGATGTAAATTGAGGTTTGTGGTTTCCTTCTTTTATTCCCTCTGCACATTTGGCATAGGTTCTAACTGTTGCTTAAGAGAAGTCATCCCAGGAGAGGAGAACAGAAAGAAACAAACACCCACTAGAGGGTGATCCTTGTAAGCCAGGGTTATTTACTGAGCGTTGGAAGAACAGTGAGGTTCAAATGGATAAATATAGTAGGTTAGAAAACTCTCAGGCTTTCAGCTGCCTTTTATTCTTAATAGTTGCCTGCAATTATGGACTGGATCCTCAGCAGGTATAAATCAGCATATGCAGCTATACTAATGTATTGAAGATCAGGTCGCTGGGTTTTTAGGATTTGAGGCCAGCCTTTGAAACACAGAGGACCTTTTCTTTCTTTCTTTCTTTCTTTCTTTCTTTCTTTCTTTCTTTCTTT